GTGTGTGTGTGTGTGTGTGTGTGTGTGTGTGTGTGTGTGTGTGTGTGAGACTTGGCTGTGTGCATGGTCTGGTTACAGAAGAACCATGTGGAACCTATTCTGCCAATTCCCCTGTGAGACCGTGAGCAGAGGCCTGACTGCCTGGGAAAGTCTATAAAAGGGTCCTGCGTGTGTGTGCATTTATGTGTGTGTGTTTGTGTGCAATTTAATTGTATGCTGCAGATAGGTCTGAAACTCTACTAATACCATCATTATTGAGTAAAAGGGCAATTCCAGCGAATGGGTTCCTCTGAAATACCTCCCTGTTCAACCTGAAAGGACTATTATTACATTCCTTTCAGTCTCTTAGTGTTCAGTTTCCTCCTACATATTGTAATGTGGTGAAAAAGGAAACCATACAAAGAAAGGAGACCTTTCTTCGGGGTACTGGCCCGGTACTAAACAAAAGTGAAGTGAAAGTAAAGTCATGATGCAGGGCTGGGAAGCTATTTAGAGTCTACTGCTTAAATCAACTAGACAGAACAAAGCAAGACGTGACTTTAGACTCATGACTAAAGACCGCCGAGACTTTGTATAAACACCAGAGCTCTGATAACAGCTCTGTAGCCTTCCTTACTGCTCGGCTCATGTCTCAACATCAACGAGTTTCTCATACATACTGTACGGACTGATGCACCATCATCTTGCCTTTAGGTTAAATAAATATTTGCTTTAATAATGACGTCCCCATCAGCCTCAACTGTTGTTTGTGTCTTGTGCTAATTGGCAAATATTAGCATGCTAACATGTTCAACTAATAGTTATCTGCTAATTTCTTAATTTTATGAATTTTACCTTGTTTTATTTTCATTATAATCTCATTATAACTTGATGCTGTGGCAATACTGTCCTTGTTACATTCATCCCAATAAAGCGTATTGAATCTGAACATCTGGATCTGGTAAACATGGTAAACATGATTCCTTCTTTGCATCAGCATGTTAGCATTGTCATTGCTAGCATGTCAACACCGTGCCTAAATGCAGTCAAAGCCTCAGCATGACTTTTCGTGACTTTGATATTAACCTTGAGCAAAGTCCATCAATCGCACACTAATCACGCTTATAGTGTTGGATAATAAGCTTCTCATATCTCGCTCATAAACTGACTGTAACTGAGGTTTGTGCAGGGTTTTGCTATGGTATTTTTGGAATGTACCCAGTAAGTAAATAAATCATGTGCGATATATTAATCAAGAGCGAGATTCAATCACAGCGAGATTCTAAGTTGTAGGATTGAATTTGACCTTTTCCTCAGTGGTCTATGTCGACATCTACTCTGAAATGAAGCAGGAATGTCAAGACATTTGTCTCTTTAGCACAAAATTGTCCCAAAAAGTGACACTGAAGTCATCACTGTTTTGCCGGTCTTTATTAGTATTTACTGCTATGACACACTGAGCTGACTGTTGTGTGTTTTTCCTCACTCAGATCCAGAATGCCGATGACGTGTTGATCTCACCCCTCGAGAGATTTCGTAAGGAGCAGATTGGAGCTGTTAAGGTACTTCTGCTGTTGTTAGAATCGAAGGCTAACAAAAGCTGATTAGATTACTAACGCAAAGGTACTGAACCAGTTAACTTTTGCTTTTACTCACAGGTGATATTCAAAACTGCACACAGTATCTGCTGAGGTTTTAAAAAGGCCAATATGTGAAGCTAAGTTCATTAAGCAGGCTGTGCTCGTTAGTTATCCAACACTGAAGGTGATGAACACAGATCCTCCTGCTCTGGTCTGGTCCCAGTCAGTGGTCAGAGAATCCAATTTGTTCGGACAAACGATGGAACACGGTCCAGTGTCAGTAACAAGGTCATGGGAACGGACGCTGGGGGGGGAGACGGGGAGCGCGTCACAGACAGAGAGATAGTTGAACTCAGTGAGACAGTATAAACACAAAGTGAGTCTGGTGTCTGCTTTCAGCAGCTGTCTCAAGTCTTATAATTCAGTTTATCTCATTTCTTTTCTCTCTGCTCTCTCTCAGACCAAAAAATAAAAAGACAGCAGTAGCGTGCAGTAGACGGGGTTTCAGAAAGTAGAACTGCTCACAGCTCTGACTAACCCTGGAAGTGAAATCACAACTCGTTTCTCTGTGTTGATCGAAGTGTTTTCCGCAGCCTGTAGAATGTGGCAGGAGTGTGTGAGCAGCACAACCGCAAACTGATGTCGCTGAGCCAGAAACAGTGGTTGGACGTGTGGAGTCTGGAGCCGCAGCTGTCTTTCAAAATAGCTGTTGTCCAAAATATGTTGGCAGTGTCTCCTCCATTATTAATGGTAGCAACCTTACGGTGGTCTCACTGATTTGTGGCATTTTGGTATTTTGAGCCACACTAGAGTACTGCCGGTCTGCCGGTCAGTGGGTCGGACAATGGCTGTGGTCCAGCCTGAAATATCTTGACAACAATTGGCATGAAATTTGGATCAAACATTCATGGACCCTCTTAACATAATCATGTTAGCGTTGACATTGTATGTTATCGATATTAGCATTTAGCTCAAAGTACCACTCTGCTAAGTACATGGATGTAGACTGTTAGTCTTGTTGTTTTTATTTATTTCTAACCAGTTGAACTGGTTAGACTGTCAAGTACTTTAAACTCGCATGGAATATCTACTAAAATTCATGTGGTATTTACATATTTGTTCGATCAGTTATTTACTGATTTGAATAATATGTTCCCTAGTTGTTCAGAATTCTTATTTCTTTTCAAATTTCTTAATTTAGTTTAATTTAATTATTAAGTTCTTGTATAGCTGCATGTGTTCCAAAAACAATAAATACAAATGCATGTGAGGAATTAATGTACAAAAAAAAACATAAGTAAAGAATCATAAAGTATCATAAAACATATTATCTTCACGTTGGTATCTCAGTTTGCACTTGTGTTGAAAAATGCTCGTCCTTCTCGCGAATGAGACGTAAAGGACTGGGGACAGTGACATAATAATCAAGTGTGAAACACTGTTGTATGTAAGAAAGTGAATTTAAAGACCTTTAGGAGCAGATTGTATTAATTGCCCATGTCCTCTACACCCCTGTCTTCTTTAGGAGGGAAAGAAGCAGTTTGACAAGGAGACAGAAAGGTACTACTCTGTTCTGGAGAAACACCTCAGCGTGTCCTCCAAAAAGAAGGAATCACAGCTACACGAGGTAAATCGTTAGACTTCTAAAAACGTACAGTTCCTCCAACATGTGTTAGGTAACAAAAAGTACTACATGGGTGTTGTTTTTGTCTTTGTTGTAGGCCGATTCACAGATGAGTAAGGACAGGCAGGTTTTTTATGATGCATCGCTGCAGTATGTCTTCAAGATCCAAGAAGTGCAGGAGAGAAAGAAGTTTGAATTTGTGGAGCCGGTGAGATCACTTACATACGTTATGATCGTGCTTATATGCAACTTTAGCACAAGTGAACCGTGCTGCTGGGCCTTCACAGCTCTGACCAGTGGAGGGTGAACACAGTCACCGATAAACAATGTTTCATCACAGGAAAATATGACTGATAAGTCTTTTTTTGTGCTGCATGTAAACAATGAGGTAAACATGAAGTCATAATTGCAGCCAAAAAAGCCAGTATCAGTAATAGTGAGTGTGCATGCAGACATGATTATGGAAACACAGCGAAACCAGGTTCTGAAAAACACAGATTACACACACTGTTTGGCCGGTGATTAAAACATTTTAATGATAGATATCAGTAAAGCCCACTTCCTGTTGCTGGAGTAGCACTTCCCGCATGGAGATCTCTTCTGCCTGACAGAGAGGAAAACTCTTTGTTGTGTAGTTTTTTTTCTCCTATTGCAATCTCGAATTGATTGAGCAGATGACAGACGATCATACTTTTGTAATCCCCTCCTTGTACTCTACACTCCCAAGCCCCCAGCTAACATTTGTCCTGCGGCTTTCTCCCTCTGATCTTCAGTTATTAGCCTTCCTGCAGGGTTTGTTTACATTCTACCATGAGGGTTACGAGCTGGCCAATGAGTTTGAACCCTACAAGCAGCAGCTTCAGTTCAACCTGCAGAATGTAAGTATGTTTACTGCAAACCTGTAAACCAAACCTGGACCTAATATCACTTGTTTGATCCGGTCTGAGCTGCCATTTAGAGAGATGTGAAAGTCAGTTTCCCAAAGAGGAAACCTTACACCCCTGGTACTCCTTTGCATGTTGAAACTACTTAAAGTGACCAGAAGCTTATTATGCAGTCCTGAATCCATTATGTTCAAACTCTTTCAAAGATTTTATGTTTCATATAAATATGTTCGCAAACCATCTTTCAATGCAGTTTGTAATGTATGTTGAAAAGGCTCGCAATAACTTTGAAAGTACGCGTGCTGAGGTTGAGAGGCTGATGAAGAGGATCCGGTCTGCAGAAGAAGACTTCCAAGCCCCCAGTGTCTTTACCATGGAGGGATACCTGTATATACAGGAGAAACGTGAGCACACACAAAACACAAAAATCACATTTTCTCTCTCACTTATGCTGTGAAGAAAGACTTTAGTCTGTTAAAACACACACAATTGCCCCTGCATGAATGGTTGTCGTGTATTTTAGGTCCATTGGGCAGTGTGTGGACCAGATACTACTGTACCTATGAAAAAAGCTCCAAGATGTTCACCATGAGCAACACAGAGGCCAGACCAGCCAGCAGACAGGTGAGCTGGTAGCACAGATGAATAACCACACGCTGAATGTTTTGTTTTCCCATTTACAAGCGTTAAAATCCACAGCGAAAGTCAACTTATACAACCCTGAGCTACATTTTTGTCATATGGTAATGTTATTCTAAGCAGGTAACACAACTCTGTTTAGCAGCTTCCTACAAGTACCAGCAAGAAGCTCTCTGCAAACTGCAGTATAGTGTTAAGTAGCTATTTATGCAACTTTGAGAAAAACAAACTACTAACTACAAACCTCAAGCTAGTGTCACGTTTGTAAGTACATTTAAATGATGTTTTGAAGCAAACTGAAAAGTAGGAAGTATATTGTTGAGATGTTAAAACACCAAAATGGTCCTCACCGTAATGAGCAACACTGATCAGAAGCTCACACTTTGTGTGAGTCCTAACAAGACCACACGTGAATTGCGTATCGCAAATTCTCATCTCTCTGTTCACAGAACGGCGTGGTGAACGGTACGCCTGAGATGTTCAAGCTGCGCTCTTGTGTCAGAAGGAAGACAGATTCAATTGACAAACGCTTCTGCTTTGACATCGAGGTGGTGGAGAGGTGAGGGGGGGGGGGGGAAATAACGCAGAGAACTATGTGAGGGCAACACGACTGTCTGTATGATAAATACATTGAGATAAAATGATCTCTTTCTCTGCAGACATGCCGTCATCACCCTGCAAGCACTCTCTGAGGCAAACAGGCGGCTGTGGATGGAGGCAATGGATGGAAAAGAACCTGTATGAATAACTTCACCCTTAAATAAATTATAGAAATGATACAGTACCAGTAATGTTTGAAATACTAACACATACATCAACATGTTTTCTGCCTTCGTTCAGATTTACACTCTGCCTTCTTTACTGAGTAAAAAGGAGGAGAGTAAGTATCCCAATTTGTGCTGTTCTTGATTTAATTCAAAAGATTCTATTCATTAACATCTGTTAGTATGTCTTGCAATGTATCAGATGTTAAGGTGAACATGTTTTTTGTTTTTTTACAGCATTTCTCAACAAGGCAGGCTTCAACTTTGTTAAGAAGTGTATCGAGCTGGTTGAAACGAGAGGTATTCCTCCTTGAAATGTTCATATGAGGAAAATATTTCCAATGAGTATTTATTTGTTGCATTGTTGAATTGTTGAACATATCTGTGTGTTATGTGTGTGTGTTTAGGCATTACCACCCTGGGACTGTACAGGACTGGGGGAGTCAACTCCAAAGTGCAGCGGTTGATGACGAGTGTGTTTGGTAAGAAACACCCTGCTTTCCTCTGCACGGTGTTATTTTCCTGTATGGTGGAGACTTATTCAAGCACAGCGAATAGCTCGTGTAATAAAAATCCATTGCTACAGATAAATAATTTACTATCTACGTTCCTCCAGCATCCACAGCTCCCACTGACATGCAGCTGGATGCAGAGGCCTGGGACAACAAGACCATCACCAGCGGTCTAAAGAATTATTTCAGGTAACAATACAGTACAAAGTTTTTTAATAACACCTCTCATGAATTATGAATTCATGATTTTTTATGTGTGTGCAGGTGTCTGGCAGAACCAGTACTGACCTACAGACTGCATAAAGAATTCATCAAGGCTGCAAGTAAGAGCCCTTCCTGCCTCTCTTTCAACACATAGAACACAGAGTGTGATAGACACAATTTGCTGTTATTTAAATAGTGTTTGTACTGAATTCACTGCCTCATACATTGTATGTCATGTAAACAGAAGCACATAAGGTCACCCTCTCAACACTAAATCATATTTCTTACTCTGTGCTCTTTCCTTGTTTCACAGAGTATGACAACCAGAAGTATAGAGTGAGAGCAATTCATGCTCTTGTACACAAACTACCAGAAAAAAACAGAGCTATGTTGGACATCCTAACCAACCACCTTCACAAGTATGTAACACACACTGTTCTTTTATTGTCCAATGCCTTGAAAATGCCCGATTGTAGCTTTGAGAGCATCTTATTTTCGTTAAATATATTTGAAAATGTTTTATACAGTCATATTTTCCTCGACTTATGGAAATAGTCTTTTAGCCGGTCGGCGTTTGCAATGATATCTTCATATTTCCAATATTCTGTCAAACATGTAGACAAGACAAGATGTAATTTAAATATACTGAAAGTTGGGTTGCAATTGATTTTTGAAATATTTTTCCCATTCAAATTCCTCTTCTTTTTTTACGGTTTCTTTAAACTCCTTTTGTCTTATGTCTTTGCGATATGATATGTGATAAATATACATGCTCATCACGTGTATCTGTGTGTGTGTGTGTGTGTGTGTGTGTGTGTGTGTGTGTGTGTGTGTGCGTGTGTGTGTGTGTGTGTGTGCGTGTGTGTGTGTGTGCGCAGGGTGTCCTCTCACAGTGACCAGAACCTGATGACTGTGTCCAACCTGGGAATGATCTTCGGCCCCACGCTGATGAGGTCGCAGGAGGAGACGGTGGCTGCTATGATGAACATCAAGTTTCAAAACATTGTGGTGGAGATTATCATTGAGAACCACCACAAGGTACGCTTACAAATACACACATAAGCATTCACACAAACACACGCACATACACACACCTAACAGGAAATGTATGTTCCTGCCAGATATTTGGTGAGGCCCCAGACCTGTCGGTGCCGTTACCTCAGCCTCCATCCTCTCGGTCGACTCCTCGGAGGAACAAGGCCATCTGTCTGTCGACTGGAAAGAGGAAGGCCCGTCTCTACCCTCCGGCTCTCTGCCTGGCAGACAACGACAGTGAGTCTCTCTGCAGCCGACAGCTCCTTTATCCTGCCACTCGTGACAGTTACTCCACAACATTATATTTCACAGTTATATCTGTGAGTTACTTTTCATACATATACACAAGTTAATGGGCTAATAAAATAGCAGTGGGACGGACTAATCGTTGTCATTCAGCCTCTTTATTATGTGACTCGTTTCCATTTCTCCCTCCAGGTGACACCTTCAGTAGCAGCCCCAGCACGACTCCGATGGGCAGCCAGGAGTCTCTGTCCTCACACTCCTCTGAGAAGAACGGATTGTCTCAGACCTCTCCTCCGTCCTCTCCTGTTGCCGAACCCGACTCGTCCTCCACACCACCGGTGTCTCCTCATGCAGCTTCCTCCTGCTCGCCGTCCCACAACTCCTCAAACGGGAAGGATCAGAAACACCCGACAGACAACACGGCCTCCCCTCACCTTACGCCTTCCTGTCCCAGTACTTCCTCCCAGATCACTCCGGCCCAACAGACTTCCTCTGTGTCCTCCTCCACGTCCTCTTTACTCTCCACAGAGAGGAGTCTGTCTGTCAAAGGAAACTCGACTGCCTCCTTGTCATCTGTAAAAGAGTCAAGATCTCCTTCCGTAGCCTCCTTGTCCACTGCCTCCATCCAGCACTCTTCAGTGGAGCGCGCCTCCTCTCTCAGGGAGGGTCGACCTCTTCAGCGAGCGTCGTCTGTCTCCTCTCTGAAGAGCTCTCATTCAGTCGATCAAAGAAATGCATCCAGCGCCTCCTCTACTGTCACGGAAACCAAAGTGACTACCTCTCCTTCTCGGCAGCACAGAAAAACTTACATGAATGCCTCCTCCTCCTCTTCCTCCTCCTCTTCATTATTCCGCGACCAGCTTTCCATGTCCTCCTCTCTGACCTCCCTACACATTTCTGAGGGTGCGTACGTCTCTGTGGGATCAAGTGTGTTGACAGTGAGAAGCATCTGTCACTTCCCTGTTTATGTTCGGCTCTAATTTCTCGTGTCTCCGTCGCAGATTACAAAAGCTGTCACGGATCGGTACAGAGTCTCATGTCGCTGGACCCACAGGAGGCAACGTGCAAACGTAAACCTTCACACATCCGCTGTGGCTCCGATCTGATTACAAAACACTCTGCTGCCGCCGCATCCAGCAACGGTTACCAGAGACCTGGATCAGTGTGAGTGTCTGTAAAATATATCTTTGTATCTCAGACATTAAGGTCCTCTGGTCGTACAGCACAGCCTTCGATCTGTGCTCTCAAGAGAAGAAAAAGACTCATTGGATAGTTTATCCCAGGAGAAAACAACTGTTTCGATGAAGAGTGATACTGTAAGGAAAGGTCAAGTTTTTAAACTTCAAAAAGTCAAAATATTTCACACAAAAAGTTCCATTGAGATGAAAATGTAAACACAGATCAGTCATCCTGTGAATCACGCTGGTTGGCTTTACTTCAAAGGGATACGACTTCTACGACTGTCAACTGTGATTTGTGATTTGTGAAATGATCCTGGGAATTGTATGCAGAGCTAATTTTGTGTTTGTGTGTTACAGATTATCAGTCAGACTACCGCAGCGTGAGAGTTCAGTATTCTCCTCGGCACTAGACGTATGTTCCTCAGGAAGGTATGTTGATTTTGAGCTTGTTTGAGGATCAACCTTTTCTATTCCTGAAGCTATCTCGTCATTAGTAAGTTATGGAAGTCTGCACAAGCCAAGTAAAACATATTGATAAAAGGAATCTTCCTAAATCTCTCTTTCTCCTAGGGATGCAAAGGCTCTCTACTCCTGTGAGGCAGAGCACAGCCATGAGCTCAGTTTTCCACAGGGGGCGCTGATCTCAAACGGTAGGAAAAACACTCGCAGGTTTCATTTCCTGAGGAAACTTTAGCCCCATTTACACCTGGTATTAACATGTGATCTGAAGCTGGATTTGTAATTTGTATAGTGACATCTGACATGGGGTACTTACTAGGTGTTCAAAAATATATTTAGATTTATCCTTAAATGTAATCTGAAGATCATTCTCCATGTAATGCTTATGTTTTGCTGATTCATTCCTTGAGAGTAACCTCTATAATCACAGTTGTTTCTTAACTGTCAGTGTTTCTTTAAAGGTGAAAAGTTACATAGAACCTTTTCACCCACTTCATAACAACGTAACACGGATGTTAATGTAGGTTGTTCATTCAGGGAGTGTACAGATCACAGTACATCTGTACTATCCTAAGTCTAACGTGTGCTTAGAAGTTGTAAATGGGTTTAAGTTTATGGGTGTCAGTGTGAGTCATTATATAAGATGTAAATTGGTTAAATTCATATATGAAGGTCTTTGCTTTGACTCGAGTTGTTTGTGTCTGCAGTGTACGCGTCTGTGGAACCAGGTTGGCTTCAGGCGACGTACAATGGAAGAACAGGCCTCATACCTGAAAACTACATCACATACATGTGACAGACCCGATGATGACATCACCCCCATCACTGAATAACACAAAGATCTAACTTTGACTTTAGGGATCTAAAGTGCATCCAGTAAAACTCTGTGCTGCTAGTCAGAGATCTAATATATTCATCATGTGACTGTGACTGTTATCACTGAACTACTGGGGCTGCATGTGAACGATGCATTTACTGTATGTATATCTGACTACTATATGTGAACCATGTTAGGGGTTGTTAACCAGTTTATAATACAGTAGATGTTAAAATCTTGTTGTCTGACTTTAACTGCATTCATACATGACGGTGTCACTTAATCAACGTTATTATCTCCTCTTTTATGTTATGAAATGTGTCTGTAAGGTACATGTAGACAGTGTGTTTTCTATCACATCCTGATAATGTATGTGTTTACTATCGTATTAATGTTATAGGCTGTGAGTCCAGAGATGAAGTGTTCACACCTGTGCCTTGAACAGTATGAACTGATGGTCTAAGACTGAATCCTTCCATTACACCGTCCCTCTACTGTCTGTCAGTTTCTATGCCGTCTAAATAAAAGACAAGTACTTAACTTAAAAACGTGTAGTTGTAGTTTGCTTTATCATTATTTTGTGTCTATCAAAGTTTCCTTAAAGATATCTAGTTATACTATATGCAGCTGTGCAAAACAAATTATTCTTTATATTCCAAATATCAGGGGAAGCTCTGTACGTTAGTTCTGCCAAGGTGCATGCCTTTTTCTACAAATTATATGTATTCATATCCCTTAATGTTGTAACGTGTATCCATGTGTGTGAATGTATAATGATGGACTGTATTTGGTAGGTGAGGGAGGTCCCATCATCTTTTCTGTACTTTGTGTGCATTATAAACACATAAACACATAATTATACAATTCACAAAATACATTTTAATCTTATGTCATATACTGTACATTCTTATTTTATGTTGTCAATGTTTTGTCACCACCGCTCTGTATCGACAGTCAGTGTTGGAGAGCAGGCACTTAAAACTGTCTGAGCCGTGCAGCTTTATGGCAGCGCTGCTGACGGGGTACTGATCTCTGCCAGCCTCCTCAGCAGTCCGTCCAGCGTCTCTATGTTCTGGGATTTCTCCTCCAGCAGCTCGTATCGCAGACTGGAGATGTCCTGCTTGATCTCTTTCAGTTCACCTGAAGAACAATAGAAGAAAAATACTATAAATGTGACAAGAATAGCTTTATATTTAAAATGGATACAACAAGTGAAACAAGTTCAGTTTCAGCATCATTGTGTTGATTTTTACCTTCGGTGATCTCGTCACTCTCTTTGTCCGCTTGAGATTTGATGATGTAACGCTTTATTAGACGCTTCATGATCTTCTGCAACCAGAGATGGAAAAAGTGCTCAAATATCTTAGAACATGTATAATTTACAATATTAGATATATTGGATTAGATATATAAAAGTCCCAGATTTAAATTCTCAATTAATTCTTGCAGAAAATCATGATTTTATTGCTGTACTAACGTGAAAATGAATCACGTTTTGTAAATGTAACAGTGTAGTTTACTGCTGGGTAGTAATAGTGTAGCAATGTATCATATTTTATAAGCTTTTCATTCATTTTTTTGTAAAATCTAATTCTGTAGTAGAAGCTTCTCACATACTGTACATGTTTTTTTTGTCTGAAATTTTGTGAAATACACAGAGGTACATACCTGATATCTGGATGAGCTGGTAGAAGCACCAAAATCTGAATTGTTGCCTACTCCGAGCTGAAAAATGAAGCTGAAATAAACTTCACTGAACAGAATTGTGACACTTCTCATGTTAAACTCTGTGGTGCAGCAGTAAAACCACTGGGAGGTGCTCAGGCTCTGCCTGTAAAGCTCCAATAAGTATCAGGGTTTATACCATACAAGCTGAGAATGGATAAATGCTGTATATATATATATATATATACAATGTACATGTCCGTATTGTGTGGTACCTGGTTGAGCTGTGTCTCAGTTTTCTCCTCACTGTGTCCTGCCACATACTGTAGGAGCAGGGTCTTGATGGCCTTTGCTATTCCCAGCATAGATTTGGGACTGGGGACCAGGTTAAAGGGCACTGGGAGCGTCCTCCCCTCCTCAAAGTAGGAGAACCAGAGTTTGGCCCGAGCAAACTTCCACTCCACATCAGCATCGTCCTAAAGAAATCCATCCGTTAGTCCTTACAAAAAAACAAAGTATATCAAATTGTATCTGAAGCACATGATTAGTACTTTGATGACGAACCTCAATCTCCTGGAAGGAGCTGTTAATCATGGCGATGAGCATGTTGAGCAGCACTATCACCATGGTGACGTTGTAAACCCCGTACAGCACGTAACCGATGTTCTCGATGAACTTGTGTCCATTATTGATCACGACAGATCTGACCTCAGACAGTCCAAATATAGCCCAGAACAAGGTCTTGAAGCTCTCCTCCAGGCTGGATGCACGCACAGAGAAGGAAATGGAGGGAGATCACAGACAAGTTATTTCTGAATTCAAACAAACCATTAATCATCAGGACGGCGATGTTGAAGATGCTCTGTGAGAAAACGGAAGGAGTTGAGGTTTTAGGTCATTTGTCTTCTGCATGTACAAGAATTAATTACATAAGATTGGCAATCTGTCATAATATATTTATGGCAAGATGTGGTTTCCAACCAGGGGCTCGGGTCCCCCACAATGGGTCCCAAGATAAATCTGAGGGGATTAAAAGGATAAGAAAGATAATACAGATCTCTATTTTATTTAATTATTTCTGACTTTCCTGTAATTTTGCTTGTATTTTGAAATGCAGGATATATTTCCACCTCTTCCAGCCTCTAGAAATCCTTTAAATAAAATAATCTGAGAGGGAAAAACACATTTTTTGTGTTCACACTGAGGGCGTAACCTACGATAAGGAGTCCCACGAAGATATTTTAAAGGGTGACAAGCCAGAAAATGTTGGAAATCCCTATTTTCAGTGATTTCATATAAAGATGCTCAATTATCCACGGTGATTTGAATACTGAATAGCAACTTTTTTTAATGTAAGTGATGTGAATGTGAATTATACTTTTAATGCATCCATGTTTCCATAAATCCAACTTTGATCAAGACCAAAAAATGTTCTCTAAAAGCACGTATAGGAACAAATGCAGGTATCTCACGTTGTGAAGGCATCATTCTGCTTCGCCCCCAGGTAATAGGAGTACAGGTTGAACATGCCGATCATGAACGCCAGAAAGACCAAGATGAAGATGACCATGAATTTGAAGATGTCCTTGACAGTCCTCCCTAGAGAGATCTGCAGTGGACCGAAGCTCTCGTTGGCGGGAAGGATGTAAGCGATCCGAGAGAAGCTCAGCACCACTGCCACCGCGTACAGGCCCTCCGATACCAGCTGGGGATCTGAAGGCAACCAGTAGATCCGTGCTGCAGAAAAACAAGGTGTGAATCAGTCAGTAGACTGACTTTTGTACAAGTTTATTAATTAGGACACCATTAGCCATTTCATAGAGATAGCCACTATCTCATGATTATGATTATAGGAATAGAAACATATTTTGGGAGGACTTTTCTGTAATCTTTGCTTTTCTTGAGACACATTGAATAGTTTTCCCACTTCTGTCATCCAACTATTATCAAATACACATGTGTACTCTGTGACTGAGGGGCTACAAGTAGACTGCTTTTTGTATTTTTAGGGGTCACAAAACAAAAATGCTGGGAACAACTGAACTAAGCAACTGTTACTCAGATTTGCATTAAAAAAAACAACCATTTCGTATATTTGTTACTCTAAAGTTGGCCTGATTTATCTTGTTCCCAATAAAAAACAGGGAAATGAACTGTGTTCAAAGTCCGAAGCCAACAGACGGTTATCTCTGCTACAGTGGAATGTATGCTCCTACTAACTCACTGCAACTGTTTGTACAAAAAGTAAATGATGGTGTTTAAAGAGCGGCGGTCTGTCAGTGTGTGCATGTGTGAGAGCAGGCTCACCCAGTGTAAAGTAGTGTATCTCAGGGGGCAGTGTGACATTGATCAGTGTCGTGTAGTGTGTGTATACATAGGTCTGGGCTAAGTCAGCGTGTCTCAGGGTGGAGAAGCGACAACTGAAGGACGCGAGGAAGATCGCCAGCATCCCAAAGTCCAGGAAGTTCCACGGTTCGACCAGGTACTCCCCCGGCCCTAGACTCCAGATCTCCTTCACCTCAGCCCAGATCATACCTGCAGCGACACAAGTCACATGACTGGATGTACAGGAGGACACGACGTTCCTCCATCATGATTGTCTAATGCTCACCCATGACCCATGAAATGATGAGAATCTCCATCCACGTGCAGGGTGTCGTGGTCATGCGGTAGAGCAGCAGCGGGTCAGAGCTCTGTTTGAGTCCTCCTGGGAGATCATGGTGGGTCATGTTTGGCAGCAGGGTGGTGCCTGCGAAACGGTCAGCGGCATTCAGGATCAGAAGACCCAGAAAAATTGTGAAGGACGACGCATGGGCCACAAACTTCATGAAGGGGCTTCGCATCACTTTCCCCATCTGATCGAGAGAGAGAGATGAAACGCTAGGAGGATGAGAGAAAACCTTCTGCAAGGAATCAGTATTTAGGAAGTTATGTGAGCGTCATTCTTTAGGAGGAATGTTACATACTCTGCTGCACGGAGCGATCAAGTAAGCCACAGCCAGTCCAGGCAGTCCGATAGCCACCGCCAGCACCACCAGCAGTTTGATGGCAGTGGTTTGCTGTCTCAGGCCGGGCATATTCTCATACCAGATACTCAGCAGCTGCTGCTGGCAGTTAGGATGTGCCACAAACTGAAGGGCAAAGACATTAGAGAGCATACAGGATATAAAGGGCTTCAAACCAAAATGTTTATTGCTTCAAAGTGTGAACGTACAGTAAATAGTCTGGCGCCTGAACTCTAATAGCACAAAGCAGCACCGTGCATCATAATGCAAACAGGGATGAAACAATTATTGTCATTATCGATTAATCTGCTGATCATTTTAGCTTTTATTTTTTCTTTAATATTGTTTAAATGACCAAAAACAGTGACTTGTTCTTGCCTCTGTATCATTGCCTGTTTGTGGGCATACTAACCTTTTTGAGCTCATATTTGATGGCTAATTTGAGCCTTGTGAGGGAGGGGCGACCGGGTAGATCATAGCAGTCTTCAGAGTCAGTTTCTCCGCTCAGTATGGCCTCCACCTCCTCCGTGCTGCGACACAGATCCAGAAGGCCCACCACATAGTCCTTACACTGGCTCGACAGGCAGCAGTAGTCGTTCTACGAACACAACGAGGAAAAATGTGCATCAGATTGCAGGAGATATGGTCTGATGCTGAGGTTACTGGTGTAGTCCAACCCATCTGACAGCATCCTATCTGTAACATATGCCACTTCTAAACTTTAAAGGAAATATGGTCATCATTTTAAGATAGAGGTAGGCTGTTAAAGATAACTATGCACAGTGTTTACAATTAAATTGACAGTGATATATCACTGACAACTGTTTTTTGAAAAAGTTTGCAGACCTCAAATCTTATTAGTTATTAGACATACAATTGCCTATATACCAAGAAAGGTGAGCTTTATAATTCATTCATGAGGGCTGTGCATTTGGATTGCGACATTTATTTATTGCATCATACCAGTAGTATACGATCTTACTGTCAGGCCAGTAATAATTATAGTTGTTATACCGTGTGTGTCAGACCAACAATGTCGACAGTGACGACAAGATCTAGACCCCCGTCTGTTTCTGCTTCCTCTTTTAAGACTTATAAAGTGTTCTTGTGTTTACTGGCAGCTTTTACTGGCAGCTGGTTGGCAACAACATGACAAATGCATTTTTTTATGAACTTGACGATGAGCTGGTTTTCAGGCCACGTGTACAGTACGTGCACAGTGATTACGCAGTGATTACAGAGTCTGGTGGTGGTTCTTTCTGTAGGATATTTCATAACATTTGTACCTTAAATTCTTTCTCAATATTAGCCAGCATGGCCAGTTCGTTGCTGAGCTCCAGGGCTGCCAATACTGGGTCCTCATTGGACAGGGATAGGTAAGCAGGACTGGCGAGTCCCCTGTAGGCATTGATCCTGGATCGCGAGTGGCTGAAGGAATCAAACTGCTGCTGGTAGTTACAGGAGTCGCAGTCGCAGAAGTAATCATGAGGATGGTCGATGCGAGCCCCTTTACTCAGCAGGGTGTGAACTATCTCGTACTCTTGGCAGTGCGCTGCAAGGATCACTGGAGTAACGTCATGAGAGAACCTGTGGGGATGCGCACACACAAATACATAAAGACCAATACATTTACATAGATCATGTGGCATCAGATAATCATAACCGGGTGTTTCATGCTTCACCATCATGCCCAGATGTCAGGGCATTTAGATATTTATTTTACCGGTTACACTGCTGCACTGCTGTGGGAACTAAAACATTTTAATGATGCCTCTGCCTTCTAACTGCCTTACCTCGTCCCGTCCTCATCGTAAGCGTAGAAGTCATCC